ATAACCATGCCATAATCGAGGAGATACAGATGGAAGTGGTCCGAAACGGCCTAATTATCAACGCCATACTCTTCAACGCGCAGATATGGTTCCCACGAGCCCAGCCAACCACTGTTCCAAATTCAGCCAATGGGGACGCACGCAGGCGTCCTGTGGAAAGGCAGCCGGGTGCGGTGTGTGCGCTGGCTCTCACCATAGTCGGGATTGTCCAAGTAAATGGGTTTCTTGCGCAAGCCACGGCAGGGAACAACGTTCGTGGTAAAAAGCAGCGTGTCAGAATTACCAGATCTACAAGGGAAGTATGGAGAAGGCTTGGATGGATCTTTTATGGAGAACAGCGGAAACTTAGAATGAGAATCTTACAACGGCGCCAATGCGAACAGTCGAGACGACTGATGGTCAGTGATTCACGTTGGCCACCAGGAAGAAGACTGAAGGACTTAGAAAGGACCGGGACGAGCGCGAAACTTAGTCAAAGCCCCTGCGCCACCATTGGTGCCTACTCCCCGATCACCTCGTCTACCAACGCTGGCTGAGGTGGTACCTTCACTCTTTAATTTCTCATAACAGTAGTCTGATCGAAGGGGAGGTTAACCAAATTTGGGGAAAGTTTATAAAATTGCGGTTCAAAGGAAAGTTCTCAGTATAAAACTGGGTCGGTTCAGAGTGGCAGGATAGTGGGTTTTGTTTATAAAAAGCCTATTACCTAACCAATGCGGCTAACCGTTCATATAGTTCTGTAAGAAGATATCGAATAGAAAGTTCAACGTGAATAATGAATGAATCACCTTCGTTGTTTGATTTACTTGTCATCGATATGAAATAAGTTATACACGCAGTATTTTTATTAAATACTAATTATCCCCAACCAGCTAGATCAGGTTAGTTGTGAAATGGTAAGACGGTTTGTATATCTGAAACTTGAGATAGGGGCTTTTTGCTTATTGGTACTGGTACTGTTACTGGCTGTTGGGACCTAGGCAAGGGACAAAATGGCGTCTGTAGCTTGGCAAGTTGAGGCGTGTGATGGAAATAATTCTCAACACGGTAAACATGAAAGGACAAGAAACAAAATCAAACGATTCTTTCCACCGACAGCTAATGCTTTGGAGTCAATCAAAGTCAACTTGAAAGAATGAGCCTTCTTCGAGGAACAAACAGCCGACTCTATGGTTGGCGACCTTCAAATAAATATTGAAAATGTTGAATGAGACAACGCATTTTCATGGTTCACATCGGCTGTCTGGCAAGGCGAGCTTCCCTACATATCCTGCATGTCCTACATAGTTATAGACTCAGACAAAACAATCAAATGAATTGATAATAAAGGCAAGGTTTCAACTAAACTCAACATAGCCGTCGCCTTCAACATTTCGCTCCTTTTGATCTGATCAGCGCTGCTTGAAAACTGGCCGTGCAAAAATGTGATCCTAAATTATTAGAAGTGACTCTGTGTCGCGAAGTAGCGCAGCCAAAAATACGCCTATTGTTGGATGGGTTATGTATCACGTACGTGACGAGTAGATGCAAAGACAATTGGAGGTATGTATATTAATTGTTATTCTATTGTAGCTTGCTAAGCCAATATCTAACTAATAGCACGCGTGCGCGTCTAGCTTATGTGAGCCAACGGATCAACTATTCCCCAATGTTCCGCCGACAGTTGGATATGGTGAATAGCTACACCTATAGTCATAGAGCCGAGCTTTGTCTATTTGTTCACTATTCACTGTCCTTGAGAAAAATCATTATCCACGGACGATCTAGAACGATCCCATACTTTAATGGCTCATCTATGTCAGGCTCGTCATAGTATTAGCGCGAAAATAACTATGAGTGGTACTAGTTAAAGAATCTTGTGTAATGAATGAAAGAAATAAGAAATCACAACAAATCGCTTTGCTCTACAGCTATGCTGCTAAACAGACTACCGTATTACTTGGTTAGAATTAATACTGAAAGCCTCGTTCCCTTTCCTTTCGAGTAGTTTCAAGTGACTTATATATTCAGACCACACTGAGGTCCTTGATTGCAATTGAAATTCTGTTAGGCAAAGTTACACTTATATCAATCTCTCTCAGAGTTGATTGAATTGATTGTCCTCCACCATGAGGAATCTATCTAGGTACTATATACATCTTTAGTTTCCTACTAATTCCAAATATAGACTGACAATTAGATTGCCCATGCGAACTGCTCAAATTTCCGTTCCATGTAAGCTTCTAAAACTGGCTGTGACATTATCATATTCAGAAGAAGGAATGAAACAATAAAGAAGTTGTGCGTAGGAAATTGGCCATCCGTCTAGTCGCTAGTTATAAATTTGCATGACTAAGTCATTGTCCTTGATGCATCAGCCTCGTATACTTGCTTGTAAACTACTCAACCTAAACATCGTGATACTATATTCAAACTGATGGTAATCTGTTAGACAGAAGCATAGTGTGCACGACGCTTTTCAATTTCAAAAACTCGCAGCCAGAATTCGAAGTCTCATGCCCGTCGAGATTTTATTCATCCTGTGCATCATCTTGTAAACTTGTCTTGATCCCTCTTACGCCCATCTCAAAGAACTGCCTCCCAGATTTCTGCGCCACGATATTTGTACTTCTGTGGGTTTTGGAGCTGTCGTGGGCGTATAATTAGTGGCCAGCTGAGGCCAGAGAATAGTCGATGAGAGGTCTAGTCATTTAAATGAGGATGTACTTGGTCTTTCTTGTAGACTTGATGAGACCTAGGTAGAATTCGAACTCTTTGTGAGTGAAAAATTGATATGGTGGAGTATTTTGAATCATTGCCTCGTGGGACAACTTCTTTGGTATTGCTAAATTTGACTGAACTTGGCCCTGGGAGAATATTTCACTCCCAGGTTCGTAGAAGCACCGCGGACAGGTGTTGAGTTTCAACCCCGAAAGTTTCAATGTAGAAGGGGCATGAATATCTTTTTTTTATCATTAAATGAGTGTCCAGCTACCTAGCCATAAAAAATGAACAGTGCTATTTGTACATGTTGGATGACTATTTTAACTTTAGAGACAATTTGACTTCAGATTTAATTCGCAGATAAAGCGACGAGGTTTATTGGTTTTCACTCAATAGTCAAACCTCATCTACAATCACCCACCAAGGTAAAGTTTCAAGCCTGTGGTTATCCACATACATATTCGTCTTCAAGCATACAAGCACCGGGAAAAATAGAATGCAGGATTGCTGGATTTTGGCCAGTTATCTTCTGTCTCAAGTAAGATAGATCTCTAATCTATCTAGTCTCAATTTGAGTGACCAGCCCGGATGTTACACCACTACACCATCCATATACCCTGAGTACTAGTGTATCTTTAAGAGAATCAAAATCTATTTTCCGGTTTTCTTTCAACTCTCTCAATAACTAGTGCTCAGAGAAAAATCAAAGGTCAGGATAAAATGTCGAAGGGTTATCGGCATATATTGTATGCGGCAAAGAAGCCTAGCCCAGGTTTCTTGTGCCATCTTGGGTAGCGCAGAATACCGTAAACTTATCGACAATGGAATGCCTCCAATATAACGTCAGACTCGACCTAACTTTAGCAGACTCATGGATGGGACTAAAGATTTATGGAAAACATCATGGACTTGTACTGAATGATGGCCTACCTGGGAAGAGAGCGAACGATGCAACAGTTGATATTGTAGCGACTAGTTTCTTGGGGGAAGGGCAAGACTGAACACCTGTCAGTGGTGCCCTCTACGAACCTGGGAGTGAAACATTCTCCCAGAGCCAATTTCAGTCCAATTTCGCAATACAGAACAAGTTGGCCCACGAGGCAATGATTCAAATAACTCCACCACGTCAAATTTTCATTCCAAAAAAGATCGAATCCTACCTAAGCCTCATCAAGTCTACAAGTATGACCTAGTACATCCTCATTCCTATCACCACACCTCTCGTCAACTTTTCTCTGGCCTCAGCCGGTTACCAAATACACGCCCACGCCGATATTTATACCCGACGGAGGAAACAAAGCGTGGAGCACAAATCTGGGAGACTGTTCTTTGGGATTGGCGTGAGAGGATTCTGGACAAGTTAACAAGATGATGCAAAGGATAGATACAGTCTCAACGGGCGTGGAATGTTGAATTTTGGCAAGGAGTTTTTACAAATTGAGCTTTGTGCGTGCCAAGACTTCGGTTATGAGAGTGCAGGCGACACAATAAACATCGCCATGGTTGGATGGTGCGGTGGTACATCGTCTTGGACTGTCTGCCAAGTAGATTCTAGAAAGCTTGGACATATACCGCACTCGAGGCAGGAGACTGCTGGTTCAAATTCAGCAAAACAAACCCACATTTCTTGCGTCGCTGGTATACATGGATGATGAGGGCGTGTTTGGTGCATCAAAGGGTTTGATTTTCCGATTGGTGGGTACTTAGGGAGGAGGCTCGACTGTTTGTGTAAGCGAACGAACCTCACGGTGGTATTTGCAAATGAAATCCAGAGTATGAGTGTCTCTAACGTCAAAAGAGTCACCCATCTTATATACATAGCACCGGTCATGTGTCATAGTGTCGACGTCTAAGAATAACCACCGAAGAAGTTGGACAGGGAAATGTCTCGGGTCAAAAATAGGGCTGTCCATACGTACATGGGTTGTTTGTTTCGGTCAGTGCTTGCATTCTGTATTAAGAACTGCAGGTTATTCTATTCCTAGTGCATGTCTATATTTAGAGATCAAGAGATCAAGTCAATCATGATCAGTATATATAGTCCTAGAATTCCGGGAGAAATAGGACTTAAGTTGTTTTTACTGAGTTATCTTTTACTTAAATTACATACACTTCGCCTGTCACAGGTCAGGCTCCCAGTTACCTGACACATAGCTTCATAGCTGAATACACTTAAATGATTTTTTAAAAAAAAAAGGCTTCTTGGGGATGGGTAGCTCGATTCCTAAGCGCGAAACCCTGGCAATGATTCTGTCTTATTAGTCACCGGCCTGAAATCTCTTCGACACAAGATCTTTATGGCACTGCCTGGTCATCAAAAGCGCGTTAAAGGTGTTCAAATATACCGACCGTTTGTCTATGGCACGACATCAAAGGCATTTAGTGCGGAAAATCCTAAGCCAGCAGGAACACCAGCTGAGCACACTCACTCGTGGACAGTATTTGTAAATGGAGTTGATGATGCAGATATAACTTACTGGTGCAAGAAAGTACAGTTTAAGTTGCATGACTCTATCCCAAACCATCTTCGAGGTAAGTATACTTAAACCCATCAATTTAACATGTATTTATCCTTCTACAGTCATCGAGGATGTACCTCCTGGGGGTGCATTTGAGACTCATGCGACGGGCTGGGGTGAAATTGACATCAGTATCAAAATCTATTATGTACCGGAATCCAACGAGAAACCCCAGTCCCTATACCACCACCTCGTTCTTCATCCATACGGGGAAAGCGAGGAGGAGCGAGAAAAATGCGTAAGCAGCCGGAGATTAGGGCATGGGTTTATGAAGAGCAACTTTTCAACGAGCCGTATGAGAATTTCTACAATCTCTTGACCACGCCGGCCGAAAAGGGCAAAAGCGCCGCCAAGGGCACAAAATCAGCCAAAGGCGACCCGTCAAACGGTGCTATCAGCGAGCGCAATGCCTCGATTCCTCTCCAATCTAGACCCGATCAACCATTTAGCCAAGAATCTGAACGGTTAGAACTCCGACGGCTGGAAAATGCGCAACAAAGAGTGAGTCAGATGTCCGAAGCGCTGGACAAGGAAATCAAAAGCAAAGAGGCTGAACTAGAGACACTTCGCGCACCTATTCCTATCAATACTGAAAGCTAGATAAGTCCGAAAAGTTCCACACCCTTAATCTTCTTTTTATTGAAGGGTGGTGATGTATATGGTTGTACACACTTGGTATCTTCAATTAAATGGTTAAGACTACTCAGGGGGCTTAGAATATACTTGGGTGATTATGGCAATAAAATATTACGGGATGCAAATGGTATCTTATTGTGTTATTATATTATGTTTTGTTGTGTTACAGGTTATGTTCATGATAATTAACCAATCCCACATACTTCCACATAGCGCCGTAGCTAGTCTCTTTTAGGAGTGATCTACGGGTGAGTGTAGCGATCGGTGGTATCTAATTTATCACTAACCTGTTTCCATTTCCCTGGCTCTGCGTGCTACACTACGTGATTGACGATTTACTACTAATGTGAAAAGCGCATTCATGACACTTTTAACCCATATATCAATATTATAAGGAGAGCAAACAGGTAATATCAGGAAATCAAATTCAGATTATTCCTCATATTGTCGCTGTAAATATAAAACTCTGTATGCTAGACGCTCAGCTCTGTCCAATATTTCAATCATTTGAGGAGTAAAATATTCATTTCACCAGCTTATCTTTCAGTCAATTTGATCCAAGACCCCAAATTTCCAAGTTCAGAGAGCCTCGTAACTTTATGATCTTCGTGTTAGTATAACACATTAACTAGGAGGACTATTCTCAATACTTGTTAGTTGTGTCCCCTGCGAACCTCCAGCTATCGCTGTCAGTCTCTAGAGCCGAGAATGAGTAATATCTTCATCCTTACTTCGATAGGGATACTCTGTCGCTCTCGCCGTCTACATCGTCTTCATGTCTCAGCGCAACCTTGGGCACCATCATTACGAAGCTAATCACCATCAGATTAGATGTTAAGTTCGAAGCGATCTATCAGACCAGGAATATAACCCAACGACATCCGTATTCCTGTCGAACAGATCACCATCAGTTTGAATATAGTATCACGACGTTTAAGTTGAGTATTTTACAATCAAGTATACGAGGCTCATTCATCAAGGACAATAACTTAGTCGTGCAAATGTTTCAACTAGTTGTTGAGACCTAATATATACATTATTAAGGAAATAATGACCCCTTAGTCATTGAGGTTGTAGAGCGCATTGATTCAAGTAACTACCGAAGTGAAACTAAGTACACAATTTGTAGTCACGTGTGTACCAACAACGTGGCCGACATGATGGCCCCAATTATTCTACATTCTAACATAAATTAATATTACGGGTTAAATAACGTATGGTTCACATATTTACCTGACTGTTAGTGGTCACCAGTTGGACAGGAAGTCTGCATGACATGTTGTGTTATGGAAGATCCAAGTCCCGTGATAGTGGCCTTCGGATATTAAACAAGAGGCGGGAAGACAGATCACTTGCTCAGTTTAGGACACGATAAGACATTAGTGTTGGCTCTATAGAGCTGGATCACTCGTGGACTATGAATGGTGTATATATGACTGGATATGTATATTGTAATTTTGTTAAGTCTCTATTAGTATAACAATTGTTATTTCATTCCAACACTAGCAACTAGACGGATGGCCAATTTCCTACGCACAACTTCTTTATTGTTTCATTCCTTCTTCTGACCATGATAATTTCACAGCCAGTTTTAGACCCTTGAATGGAACGGAAATTTGAGTAGTTCGCATGGGCAATCTAATTGTCAGTCTATATTTGGAATTAGTAGGAAACTCAAGATGTATGTAGTGCCTAGATAGATTCCTCATGGTGGAGGACAATCAATTCAATCAACTCAGAGAGAGATTGACATTAGTATAACTTTGCCTAACAGTTCCTGACCTAATGTTTTGTGATTCACGTAAATTTCATTCAGCAAATATGATGGTGACATTATTGTCAGAATAATATGCCAAGTTGGTACCCGACACACTTATTAGTTTCCCCAGGGAAAGCCTAGGCGTTAATGGTCATTTTCAGCTAAAGAGACTATGATTTTTGTTTCTTTTACTAACTAGGTTATAGACTATCTAGCAGATTTACTTTGAACAGTGCTTCTATCCTCTTGAATTACTTTACATATCATTGATATATTGCCCATGATGAGTGGTCATCTGGCTCAGAATTTACCCGTCGAGTTTAGCCACCTTTTCCACAGATCCTTCTTTCCCAAAAAAAAGGAAAAAAGCTAGCAATACAAACTACGTGCCCGGGAAATTTTCTCAAAATCCTGCTACCACAGCCCGACGAGGCCTAGACACCGGGTCCACATAAGGTGCTCACATCCATCTACATCTCCCTTCTTTGTAACGGTCGAGGCCGACTTGATCCAATTCACCATCACCATATCGGGTGCTGGGCACACTCCAGAAACTATTAGAAATTGTCAAGGATTTCTAGGAGGAAATATTATCGACTTTAAACTTGTTGTCCACATTGTATGTGTATGTCTGTTATCACAGACATTGGAAATAATTCATGAGACTGCTTAATGAGAGGCTAGTATTGATTCCGATATAATATCGTAGAAGACTTGTCCCAACTATCAGAGGGCCACAACGTCTTTATCTATCTACAGGTAAACTCCCTATATTCCAACCACACTAGCCAAACAGGACGTAGCATGTAAAACCTGGTTCGTATCATCAATTTGGGGTTGAGGTTTACCGTGCATATGCTACTCGTGTCGCATGTCGGACTACTATGCGACACGCTCAGGTATCAATCTAACAACCCACACCAAAACCGAAACTACTCATAGCCCTGATGATGATCCCATGAATAATTGTAACAGTAGCCTGCAACATAGCACAATTAGGCTAGACATCGTTGACCAGGACCTAATCCGAACAAAATATCTCGAAGAACATGTGTACAATTTGGGACAAGTATTTATTGATAATTGTATAGGTATCGAACTATCTTCTCAACATGAATTAATAATATGTAAGCCTAGGGCTAGACCCTCAGTGTCCATTGGCAAAAAAAATGAAAATAAGCCTTATATTTCAACTAGAAATTTTGGTAGCATATTATCTGGTTTAGCAGTCCTTCAAAGTCATAGACTCAGTAGGGACTTAAACTTAATTCTATCCTAAGTATGTATAATATTCCGTTTACTTCGCTTAACATATACAGATAAGTCTATCATTAAATTCAGAATCTTAAGGCTTTAGAAATTCCTAACTGTCGGGATACTTAAACACGGTGCAAAGAACGTAATCTGTATGTCACGTTTCTGCAGTTGTGTTGGTGGATCTTGTCTATTCTCCTATTCTACAAAAAGATACTAATACTCATAATGAACGATGACTAATCTATGACTAACATTGGAAAGTGAGGTAAGGACATTTATACCAACACTAACTCCTAGTAATCTAGCAACAACCAGCCACTCATTTATCGCCAGGTAGCATTTCCTTAGCCAATGCAATCCAGATGCCACTGAACCTTCTTTCGCCCCACTGAGCTTAATCATATTCTATCGAATCAACTCAATTGATCTTGATGATCATACCTAGAAATCTAAACCTTCATATATACTAAGTATAGATTTCTAACAAAAGATCATTGGTATATTGCTCGTGATGAATAAACATTAATTTTTGTATTATTAATTCCTATTAATTCATGTTATTTTCCTGTCTGAGCCTATGACTATGCAGGACATACAGGGCATCTGTGCCTAGAAGCCAAGAACACCTATGCTAGTAGTATATCCCATCTTATGCCAGCCATGCAGCTCCCCTCAAACAGTACCACCCCTAACAAATCCTCATTCGATCATACACTAAAAGGAGCCCTTTGCCCTTCATTATCTCCCATCTCCAGCCAACAAAACGATGGCTATTTGCGAGTGTATGGCAGCGGGGAAAATTCGCAAAAACCACTGGGTGCGGAGCTCTCCTAATACCGACATTAGGACTAGATCCAATTACATAGTGATCCTTATAAAGAGTTCGAAGAGGTCGGCCAGCTGGGCGCTGCAGCCTTGTCGGTAACTCGGGAACTTCACATTTTTCCTTTCTAGCCTCCTTCCCGAAAGTCGTGCTGAAATATCAGAAAAGTCTTGACAGAGCGTGATAGCTGTATGGAAGCTTAGCCCAACCTTATTTGTTCCGTCCAAGGCGCTAGGGAGCGCTGTTCATTCATCGACAATAGACACCCTCCTGGCTAATTGGCCGTAACCTTCGTCTTGGCGCCCACAACCGTTCCAAAATTAAAAACTCCTCGAAAGTAACAGTCCCAACATCATCTTCAGAGACCTGTTCCCCCTCTCGCTCCACTTATCAGCTGCCAGTCCCGCCCCAAGATGTATAACTCCATTAGAGCATCAGTCCCCCATTAACCAATACCCAAACTGTGTATGTTATAACTTAATTTTCTCCTTGCGGGTTTACGTAGCTTCGTGAATTTGTAGTGAGTGATGGCCGGTAATCAATGAGGCAAGCTACTGTGTGCAATTGGCGCGACACCTTTATCCGTCGTTGAGGCGGGATGATATATGGTTTGAAAAAGATTAAGGACTCAGAAGAAAATGGCGAGTGCTACATGATTGAGAGGTCGTCAAATGGAGACGTGCATGTGTCTGCTTTCGACTTCGATTCGGATGCCATTCTTCTTGGCCATCCCAGATATACATCGCATACTGAGCCATTACAACAGCACCACTGGAAGGTGTATGGCAGTTATTGATGAAGGGCTTGGCTCTTGAGTTTTCTATTGTTTCTGTGTTAAGATACA